AGGGGCTCTTACATAACTCTACAAAGATCTCTGACTAGACTAACTGGGAGGAATGCCCTTTGGGAAAAACTAAATGTCACAAAAGAAAATCACAGCCTCTAGAAAACCCCCCACTGCTGGTTTTAGGGTGTACTTTAGCCCCTAGGAGATCAGTAAGACTAGCTCCAGGGATAAATAATGCAAGCTGCACAGTTCTTTAGATTATATGTTTTCTGAGGCCACAGGCTGTATCTAGGATTCTCCTTCATATCCAATTCTTAAAGTAGACGCTTACTAAATGTTTATTGAACAGTGTCTTCTCCTACTTACAAACAGCCAGTCTCTATAGAAACCCCCTTTATTGAATCCAGACTTTCGAATACTATTCCAGTCTGCTAGTGTAAGCATTGAGAGGAAAGTGAGCAGACCCAGCCCTGGTGAGATCTCTACATAACCCCTAGTGTAGCCTCCATAAATTTACTTTTAGAAAACAAATGAATCTCAATTTCCTATAGATTTTCTTAGAGGAAAATACTGAAAGGAACACCTTTTAACACTTAGGGAATCCACCTGAGATACAAAATAACCTGGAAATTCATCCATAAAATTTATGGAAATTCCTTAGAAGTAAGGACTCCACAGTAAAAACTACTCTTGACAGGTACAGACAAAGCTGAATATTAAGCCCTCACCAGATATGCAGAAGAGCGAGAGTTTGTAGACAAAGTCCCATCAAGTTAGAAGACCTTGGGAAACAACTTGAGCCATCATGACCATCCCAGAAAAGTATAAAACCAAAGCTATACAAGTTCAAAGTGATCAGCCAGTGTAGAACTGCTTGCTAGAACAAGAATATTCTTCAAAGAAAGATAACATGTTCTAGAGTATTGAAGACATCTCTACAATGCCAAGTGTATCATAAAAAATTACTACACATGCAAAGAAAGAGGAAACCAGAACCCACGGGGTGGGGGGAGAAAAAAAGCAATCGATAGAAATTGAGCTTGAGATGGCCCAAATGCTAGATTTAGCAGATAAGGATTATAAAGCAGGTTTTATGTATTCTTAGAAATAAAAGAAAGTTATTAAAAAAATTAAAGAGAAATATTTTAATGACTGAACAGATAGTCTTAGCAGAGAAATGAAAGCTAAATAAAAGTATGAAATGTAAATCCTAGAATAAAATAACTGCCAAAAAAATTTTTTTATTAACAGCATATTGGAAAAAAAGATCACAGGGGTAGGGGTAGGAAAGCTGGTGAACCTGAATACATAATAACAAATTTTCCAATCTGAAGAATGGGAAAACTTTTTTAAAATTAAGAGATTCAGAGATCTTTGGGATGATATCAAGTGGCCTACCATACATGTAACAGGAGGCCAAGGAGAGAAAGAAAGGAGCAGAAAAAAGTATTGAAAGGAATATGGGCTTCAACAATGGGAAAACAGGACTTAGTCATTGAATCCCAAACAGGATAAATACCAAGAAAACTACATCTATCAGCTTTATAATCAAGCTGCTGAAAATGAAAGACACTGGAAAAAAATCTTGAAAACAGTCAGAAGGAAAAGCATGAATGATGACTGACCGCCTTATCATTAGGAACAATGTAAGCCAAAAGTCAGTGGAATAACACTTTTAAAGTCCTAGAATAAAAAGTGGCAACCTAGATATCTGTATTCAGTGAAATATGTACTTTAAAAAGCAAGGTGACTCCAAGTTTGGGCCCAGATGGAATCAGAGAGAGAAACTGGATTTACCCTCAAGCCTGAAACAAAAAACAGGCCAAATGTATGACATTCATGAAAGAACAGTTTTCAAAATATTGGACAGTGGGCACTGAATGACTGTGATCGTTGAAAGATGAAAATCAAGTGAAAAAACCCTACAATTGCTCAGCTTTCTGCCTAGAGATTGTTTCCAACCTTCAGTGCAGGGAGGGAGGGCCCAGGTGGAGTTAAGCAGACTCCTTGAGTTGAAAACACAAAGCTTAAAGTGTAGCAAGGACAAAGGGACTAAGGTTCACAGCCCAGAGTAACGAGAGGAGAAAGCTGCGTTGCTGGGAAGAGAGCTCGGGAGATCTTTATAGGATGCCCACAGTCTTATGTTGAGTATGGATCAGTGCAAGTGTATGAGAAAATGGCCCAAGGCCGAGGAAAGAACTCCCTGAAAGGCTTGGAGGAACAATTGTCAGAGCTCACACAGAACCAGGAATAGTTCTTACCATCGGCTAGAACAGAAAACATCCTAATTCATGGAACAATAGCTTGGGTACTCAAAAGGGTTTTGTCTCAATAGTGGGATAAAATTAGGTTTAATGCAAATGCTATTCAAGTTCCACCTAATAGAGGCAAGATCAGAAAGAACCAGACTCTTTCCAAGTAATTTAACAGCATCCCAAAATAAAGCAGGAAGATATTTATAGGAATACAAATGCATCCAACAAGGTAAAACTTACAAGGTCTTTCATCCAATTAAAAATCACTGGGCATACAAAGAAGCAAAAAAATAAGGCCCATGATAGAGAAAAAAAAAATCAGTCAAAACTCACCTACTCATATGATAGAATTCATAAACAAGAACATTAAGACATATATTTTAACTGTATTCTCTGATTGATAAAGTCAAAGAAGAATTATTGAACAACCTGAGACATGGAAAATATTTTAAAATATCAAATCAAACTTTCAGCAATGAAAACTCTGATGTCTGAGATGAAAAATACAATGAAAGAGACTAAAAGCAGACTAGAAATTCCAGAAGACAAGAGTAATGAACTGGAACACAGCAACAGAAACCACCCAAAATGAAACACAAAGAAAAAGCACTGGGGAAAAATGAACAGAGCATTAATGAACTTGGGGAAACTTCAAATGGCCTAATATACATGCAATTGGAGCCTTTCAATGCTAGAAAGGCAGGAGGGACCAAAAAAAAAAGTAATAATTGCTAAAAATTTTGCCTTATTTAATAAAAACTGTGATCCCACAATCCCAAGAAGCTCGATGAACACCAAGATCAAGAAACAAGAAGAAAACTATGCAAAGGCCATGCCATCATCAAATGACTTAACACAGTGAAGAGATCTCCACTTTGGCAGCAGCAATTAATTCAGTAGCAGGTGATTCTAGTTTCTAGTCTCTGCCCCCCCACGTTTTCAGAACCAGCATCACGACACCCCCTCAGAGATACCAGCGTCAACTGTCCAGAATCCTCTCCTCAAAGCTTTCTGTCCCAGCTCCTCAGGGCATCTCACCTTCGTGCTCCTGATGCACCAGCAGCACCAACACCAGACAGCACTTACCCCAGGGTTCTCAGTCCAGGCTTTCTAGGGCCCTTCCCCCAGGCTTCTACACGCTGATAAACCCAAACCATCCCTTTGCTCCCCTAGCCCAAGGGATGGAAGCTGCTTCCTATCATCACTACCTCTGTGATAGCTCAGTGTTTTTTTTTTCCTGTTTAACCAATTCTGTCTGTTAAATGCTGTTTTAAGTAACAGAGAAGGATGATTACATCTTGTTAGGTAAAAGTATGACTTTTTCAGAAGGATTATATGGAATCTCAAATATGCATAGAAAAGTTAAGTATACAGGCTAAGTAGCCAGAATTGGAATGGGTTGGTTAACTGAGCTTTTTCAAATTTGCCCCTCTTTTCTCAACTTTGTGATTTGGAGCGTTGCCAGGTGTGTTCCCAACAGATTCTGCCCAAAGAGTATGTTATAGGGAGACGGGAAGCTAGAGGGGCACAAGGCACCTTCTCCCTTCTGTTCTACTTCCCGCTCCTATTAACATCACCCTAATAATGGTTCTTCACTCTATAAGTAGCAGTTGATCCCCAGTAGGTTCCAGTTACCAGTTTGTTGGTTTTTTCCTGCACTCCCCACAGCAGCCTCATTATGCCCTCACAGAAATCTGAGTACCAGCTGGCTGGCACGGTCTCCTGAGGTCTGATTTCCACCTCTGTGGGGTTTTCTCAACTGAATTCTTCTCTGAATTCCTGAGGCCACAGCACCAGACAGGGTGTGCCCCCTTCTCAAAGGTCTGTTTACCAGCTGTGGGGTCTTTCTTCTAAACTTCTCAGGTGCCAGGGACCAAACTCCCCAGATGTCTGGATCCAAACTCTGCAGTACCTCTCCCTCAAGATTCTAAATTCCATGAATCCCAACTCTCTTCTTTTTTTTTTTTTTTTAAGATTTTCTATTATTTATGTGAGAGAGAGAATGAGAGAGAGAGCATGAGAAGGGGGAGGGTCAGAGGGAGAGGCAGACTCCCTGCCAAGCAGGGAGCCCGCTGCGGGACTCGATCCCGGGACTCCAGGATCATGACCTGAGCCGAAGGCAGTCGCTTAACCAACTGAGCCACCCAGGCGCCCCCAACTCCTCCCTCTGTCCCCACAGCCCGGAAGAAGACAACTGCTTCCTGCAGTGGCCACCATTGTATTATTTTCCACTGGAATCTTAGAGCATAAAGACATCTTAATGAATTACACCAATTCTTTTAATATCATATATGCCACATTCCACTCAGGCTATTTTAACTTTTCTATTTTCTCTTGTCTTATCTCTCCATTTTCAGAGACTTTCAATAAGGGCTAAGTTATAAATGCGTGCCAGTGCGTATGACATGGAAAAGATCTAGAGTAACCTGCATCGTTCTCATGTTTGTTTCACTTTGTCCAAGGGGCATTGTTTTAGGGAAGATGAGCAACTCCCGTATCTCTCATAATTTGGGGGGAAATGAGACCCTAGGAAGCTGTTTCCTTGTCTGTAAAATACAACTCACAGAGTTACTATAGATACCTAAGGAAGCACTTCTGTGGAAGCACTTAGTAATCATAACTGCTGTCATACATTTGTTTTTACCACTGTGACCAGCTCTTACTAGATGCTGAACTATACTGGAAATCAGTTAAAAAAATAAAAAAAGAAAAAAAGAGTGGGCCTCTGTTTTTCCCATTCTGCTCAACCCTGATCAGCAGTCTACATACCAAAGATCCCTTTTGCCAATGAGACAGAAGCCATTTATTAACATACAGCAAATACTGTTTATTGCAGACTTTCCAGCTGACTCATGTGAAAAAGGCACTATGAAAATTAATGAATCTAGATAATCTCTCTAAATGGATTTATGTTAAAATATACAACATTCTTACATAACATCTGTTTTATATATGTGAAATAATATAACATTTAATGACAAAAATTGTGTTTCCAAAAATAACATTTGTTGAAGGTTAAGTATCTTTCTTTTCTCTACCTAGAATCTTTCACAGGATTAAAATATACGTAAATTAACTGTTTCTTCTTATCAGAAAAACTTGACACAGATAAACACATAAAATGGCCCCAATATCCATTTAACTACTCATATCAATATTCAGAACCGAGGCCTTCATTAAGCAAAATACTGTAATGCACACCAATGCGGGCTACTTTCTGGGACACATTTTGACTGCATCTGATCTCTTTTCCACTTGTGCTTTCTCATATATAAGAACACAATACAGATAATAAGCAGAATATAAACTAAATCAAAATACAGGCTATACAAGGAATTGTGATCAACAGAGCCATGACAAATGAACTGTCTTGGGAATGCTCCATAGGTTTATATTTGCATGTCCAAGGCCTTGTATTTTACAGTTCGTTAAATGTTCTGATTTTTTTAAAAAAACTGTTGGCATTAAGAACTTTAAATAAATCTAAATATTCTATCATTGAGTATGTCAAAGAAGAGACCTAAGTAAGCAGAGGCTAGCCTAAAGTAAGCTACGCTCTGAATGACAGACACCAGAGTCATGGGCAAAACTGAAATTATTTCGATTTTAAGTCACGGGCAATATCTCTGTTTTGCTGCAGTAAATAAATTCACCACTGTTAAAAGCTGCCTGCTTACACACTGAGATGGGAGATGAAATAATTAATCCAATGAAAGAAACATCACCTGGGTAAAGCAGGCAAAATATTTCTCAAGGGCAAAACAGCTATTTAAAATTACTCAGTTTTAATAAAAATAATGGGCCAGGAAACAAGTCCTCCGCTTACTTATGTTTGCATTGTTTCTTTATGGCGATAACTTAAGTATTCTGAGAAATAAGAATCTGACATTCCCTTCATGGCTTCTTAAAACAAAGCATGTTGGAATAATGCCACAAATTTAAATGGAGTTTAAAAACAAATTAGTGACTGCTTCCCTCATCAAAAGACTCCACTCCCGAATCGCTAGCCGCGGCACTGATTTTTTCCTGTCGTCTCCGCATGATTTCTTGCAACTCGGAGCTGCCACTGTTATCCTGAAAAACAAACATGGTTCAGACAAGATGGCTATGGGTTTGTGCAGGCTGCAGGTCCTGTAATGAAATGGTTCAGGGTAAGAGTCCTTTGTTTTTCTTCGAATATCTCTTGGGGAAAACTGAAGGCTGTCCTTCATATAGAGTGATGCTCCTGGACTTCGCTAATATATCACATTAATCATTTTTTCATTTATGAGGTGTCTGAAGGCAATTCATTCACCATGCCTTTCACTTGGACATGATAAGGATAAATCAATAATGTATGTGGACTGCTCCAGATTCCCTGGGAGAAATAAGATATGTGTACAATAAGCATAATAAGATGGTAAATTATCAAAGAACCCTCTTAAGTCAAGCGAGATCTGCCCTTAGGGGATTCTAAATTAGGCTCAAAGACTGGGCTCAGGGTACAGCAAGCTTGCTTCAGACTACAGGAAGGCTCTGACCCTCTGACCTCATGGCAGCTTTTCTCCTTGCCACGCTCTACCTACCATCCCTGTGCACCCTCCTTATTCTGCTCTCATCAGTTTCTGGCAACCCAGGTGAGTCATCTAAAAGATGGACTAGATGCAAGAGAAGGGTGTGGTGGGAGGACAGCTGAGGAAGATGAAGAACCTCCATTCATATCCAGAGGAAAGGAAACGAGAGACCAAGAGGAAGTGGGTGATGAGGGCAAATTACAGGCAGTCTGACTCAAAGGAATTCAGAAATTTTGGAACTTTCTATCATACCCTTGAGAAGGAAATTCATACACTCTCAATAAAGTTAAAGTGCGTAATGGTAAAAAAACTGCCTCAGAAAAGATACAATCCTCATTCATATTCAATATACAGAAAGCTTAATACAGAGTACGCCCAAGATCCACCTAATATGGAACTCCCAAGATCAATGTTGTAGGAAAAGTTTCCAAGAGATAAAAATTTCTCCTGAGAGTGGTTACAGGGTTGCATTCATGAAGCCATTTCACTCTGAGTTATTTCACTGTTGAATTTAGAGGATATACCTGCTAGAGAAAACTATGTATCAATTTTACGCCAAAGCCAATACCCTTTCATTTGAGTCCAAGTATAATTTCATGAAAGCTATTAAGAGCTGTGAGCTATAACAGTTTGAAACTACTACCCTTACACAGCCCATTTTAAGAAGAGTAGGATATGGGAAGCTTAAGGATGTTCAATCTAGAAAACATTTCCTCTCCTCCTTTCCTACCTGCAACTATGACTAAATAATTATTCTTCAGCATTCTCTCTTTCAATGATTCCTACCTAATATTTTCCCTCTGATTTTTAAATATATAACAAGACCTAAGACCCACAGCCAGGATTTTAAGACCTTGTAACCAGTAGCCTACTAGAATCTCTGAACTAAATATTAAGAACAGGCAAAAGAGTTTTGGCCTCTTAAGGCATTTACTCACTCAGGAAGTGAATGTCCATTATTGTGTCAAAATTTAAATTCCTACAGAAGTAGTTAATGCATATAAAATGAGAACATTAGGCTTTTCATTAAATGTCCAAAAGCATATGTTCCAAGCTTCATGTTAGAGGAGCATTTATGATAAATTAATCTCCCTGCAAATGGTCACTGATGGTCTCCAGTAATCAATTATAAAAGTAGAGTCAAATTTAATTCAGCTCTGTATGAAAGGGAAATTGACCACTATGGACATAAACAGTTGATTTCAGAGCTTTCAATTCACAGTCCACACTCTTGATTAATGCAGACAAACACCAACTTAGGTTGACAAGTCATACCTCTAATGCAGCTTTTTGTACAGTGATTTGGCTAAAGACTCTGGACCCTTCAGGGCAGACTGTCCTCAGTTCCTCTTTGTTGAGAGAGAAAAGTTGTGCACCGTTTAGTACTCCAAGACTATTGACAGTCCTGAAAAAGCATGAAGAAAGAAAGAGAAATATATCATTAAAAATATTATCTAGATAGGGGTACTTAGGTGGCTCAGTCATTTAAGTGTCCCATTCTTGATTTCGGCTCGGGTCATGATCTTGGGGTCATGGGATTGAGCCCGGCGTCCGGCTCGGCACTGGGCACTGAGCTTGCTTGGGATTCTCTCTCTCCCTCTCCCTCTGCCCACCCCCCTCCAGCTCATGTTCTTTCTCTTTCTCTCAATAAATAAATAAATAAATAAATAAATAAACATATGCATATATATATATATGCCATAACCTCTCTTTTCTAAGTGTTCCATACAATGAAACTCTTGTAAAATGGTACTACAGTGCTTATTCAAGGCAGTGACAAGAGGGACTTTCATGATGACGACCCTGAGGCTATAGAAGATGATTATAAAGTATCAAAAAGGAGCCGACTGTATTTAGTATCATTATTGCTGAGTACCATTTCCCTGAAATATGGTGTTTCATAGGGGGAACAGATAACTTTCTAGTAACCAGGCAACTGACTAACCAATGTATCTCATTTTTCAGTCATGTGGGTATATGAGTTTATAAAATTCTCTTAAATATGTATTATTGAAATAGTTCCTTGTATCAAATACACATAAAATATTTTCAAATTTTTAGATTGTAGATGAATTGTTGCCATGGGTTTACTAAGGGAAAAGCTCTATTAGGTTATAATCTATGATAGGTAATTTATCTATTTTTTATTTGGCTGAGAATCTATATCCGGCAGCAGAACATTCCACTATATACCCTCTAAGGTCTGGGGAGTCCAGCTAACACCTTAGTCCTACCCTGTGTAACCAGATGAGGGCGAAAGAAAGCTACCACCTCAAAACCACTGACAGTTTGTTTAAGGGACCACGGATAAGCAGTCTGATTATCAACTAGAAAACAAAGTAGCACCAAATTATAGTTACTTCTTCTTCCAATTTTTTTTTTTTTAGCTATAAATATCTACAGTTATTTCCTGAGCATGGAATAAATGCAGTCTGGCCCCAAATTTTTAAAGAGTCATTTGTGACATCTTAGCGACCAAACTGAAAATAAGGCATATATTACACACAGAAATGCAAAGTATTCCCAGAGAGACTTACACAGGGCTGAACCCCTTCGACTGTAACCATGTCTTCACATCTTCTGGTGTGGAGTCGTAAGTGATATTGACAACTGGCACATTCTGCCGTGGCACGTGGAACTTCTTCTGGGCGGCACTCCGGCCAATGGTCAGTCTGTGGATGAGCTCATCCTGGACTTCCTCCATCTGAGATTTCCTTCCTGCACACCAACACGGAGTAGGTTATTTTTGAAAACCCCTAACACATGTCCCTCTCTCTAGAACCCCAATGCCCCAAATCCTTTGACATGAAAAGGACTTCTAGTGTTCCTATCATCTTTCCTCACTTTCATCCTCACCCAGGACAAATTCCATGATCAATTATTAAAACCACTCCTTGGCTCTTCTCCCTCTTCATTGTATTCACTTGGCAAAACTCCAACCCTTGTTAAATCGAACTTTCTGCTTATTCTGTGCCTGCACCTGCACAGTGAATATAACACAACAATGCTGAATGATCTCATGTTAAATTCATGAATATGAACCTCAACCAGGCTGTTGTTTACTGACAATCATACTGCATTTCCTTAGGTCCATGGTCTCAAGTGGGGGAAATTCTGACCCTGGGAACATCTGCCAATGGCTGGAGACAATTTTGGATGGCACAATTAGAGAGGAGGAGGAGAAAGGATGCAACTATCAGGCCATGGGTAGAGGCCTGGGCTGCACAAAACATTCTACAATGTACACGTCAGTCTCCTACTACATAGAATTATCCAGCCCCGTGTCAACAAGGCTCAGGTTGAGAATCTGCCCCAGACCAAATAGCTGCCCAATGTTAGACAGGTATTTACTCTCTTCTTTCTCTGCAAACCTCCAAGATTCATTCCCCAATTCTCACCCTGATGACCTCACTTTCCTAATGTCAAATAAAATAAAGAAGTTAGAAGAAAACCTCCATAAGTTCCCTCAGCGGTTTTCCTCACCTACCAGCACCTTCCCCATGCACTCTGCCTTCCTTCTCTTCCTTTCTTCCTTCCTTCCCTTCCCCTTCCCTACTCCCTCCCTCCCTACTACATTATGGATCAACTGCTCCCACACTCCTAAGGCCCACATCCCTACATGCGCACTAGATCCCATGTCCTCTGCCTATTTAAATACTTCAACAATAATTTCTCCTCTACTTATCTAGGGTATCCATCTTCCTCTTTTACTAAATCATTTCATCAGCAGACAAAACTATCATTTTGTAATTGTTCCTCTCCCGTTTAAGCCCTTTCTTGACCACATGTCCCTCCCAGATATTGCCCATTTCTCTGCTCCCCGTTTTGTAAAATTCCATGAAAAGCTGTCTATACTAGATGACTCCCATTCTTGTTCTCCAATTTTCTCTTGAATTCATGGTTAAAAAATAGGCTTTGGGTCCCATCCCTCCACTACGTTTTGCTAAACCACTATGGTCAGTTCCCAGTCACTGTCTTATTTAATCTACCGGCAACATACAAAGAAGGTGATCATTCCTTAAAACGCCTTCTTCCTGTGGCCTCTAGGACACCATACTCACCTGATTTTCTTCCTGTCTCACTGGCCTCTCCTCAGTATCCTTTTCTGATTCTTCTCCTCCCCCCAGTAAGTAATGTTGAAGTACCCCAGGGCACAATCGTTGGACCTCTCCTCTGCCTGCACTCACTCCATTAATGATCACTGTGCCATTTAAAAGCTGATGACTCCCGGGGCGCCTGGGTGGCTCAGATGGTTAAGCATCTGCCTTCGGCTCAGGTCATGATCCCAGGGTTCTGGGATCGAGTCCCGCATCGGGCTCCCTGCTAGGC